TCTGGAGCTCAAGATCCCGTTTGGACAAGGCCACATAGTTGTCCATTTCAAGACTCTCATAGAAATCCTGGACTTCACACAGATCAAGCAGGAACTTGTTGACACGTTCTTTATTCTGCTGAATGAAGGGCTGTAGGCTGGCCATGTAAGGTTCCTTGGCGTAGGAAGGTTTGTTCGCCAGATTCTGAATCATCTTGGCGATCAGCGTCAGGGTACGGCGAGGCTTGTCCGTGGGCGTAGCATCGATCAGCATGTAAGAGCGGGGAGTAACGATTGCCGGGTTGATGAAGCGCAGGAAGAAGAAACCACCGATAAGAGTACAGATGGTTTGGTCCTGGGCATCGGGATACTTTCTGCGCGACAGACTACGAATCTGCTTACAGATCCATCTAATACCATACGGAGCCTCATCTACCGAGTCAATGATGGTTGTGATGAATCCGTTCGCGATATCCGTCAACATCTTCAAACGTGGGGCAATGATGGCTTGCACCTGCGCATTTTCAGCAGCATCTTCGGCAGTCACCGATCGGGCCAAGTAATCTGGAAGCGACCCGGTTTCTTCTTCGATCTGCTTAATCATGCTTTCATAAACCTTCAAGGGGTTGATCTCCAGATCCACGTCCCGCAACTCAATCAGAGCGTTAATCTGGTCTGCCAGCACCTGCTTCAAATAACTCTGACCGGGACCACGGCGCGTGTATGTGGTCATCATGCGAGAAACTGGGGTGTTTTGGCGCAACAAGGACGAGTACTCCGGTGTGTTATCGAACTGGTAGGTGAGCACGGACTGGAACATAGTAAGCAGAAGGTGCTCTTCGCGACTCTCGTACTGGTTTCCGTAGATGGTGAACATGACGGTCTGAAGGAGGGAATCGATCTCGGCCATGGAGACCAGTCGGCAGAGGTGGGCGATGTGGCGGGGTTCTGATTGCAGGAGGAAAAGAAGATTGCCGTACTTCTGGGTTCGTTCATCGTTCGGGAAGAACCCTTCCTGTGGGTCTGCGGTATCGTCGAGATGGCTGGCGACCTCATTTTGCTAGACGGAAAGATAACAGGTTAGCGAATGTCCGTCGATTTCCGCATCAATAAAATCCTTACTTCTTCCAACGCCATTCGATTCTGGATGAGCAATGCGATTCGTGAGTCCAAATATCGCACATCTTTTTCCAACACGAAGTTCTTTTTCGATTGCGATGAAATCCTTGATTTCAAATCCCGTAGGTGCTTTTGTGCTATCGGAGGATTAGCGCGACCACTGGGGATAAGCCAGAATTAGACGTACCTCGTGCCAAGTCATCGGAAATCTCCAAGTCTCGATCTTTGGCGGACATTGACAGGTACAGTGCCGTGACCGACATCCGCTTGGATTGGCGGAGCGACCGAGTATCGTGCGACGACATTGTGTTCTGTCGTGCTACGGGCTGAAACGAGGAGGAAGAGGAGGAGGATGCTCGTGACTGTCTGGATGCAGGTTGTAGCATCGTCGCGACGGACATTGTGGAATTCGGGGGTTGACGAGCAGTCGTCAGAGTTATGTACTGCGATGACAATGGCGTAGGGAGTACGGAGGAGTAAAGCGGGAAGAAGAAGAAACCCCCGTACCGAGGATGTGTTGTTCCGCTGAGTTACCACGGTACGTGTGGCGAATCAGTGTAGAAAGAGAAGAATCATCAAAGGTGAAGAAAGAGAGGGGGAATAAGGGTCAAAGTAAAGAGGGGATTATTTATTTCGTTAGTTCGCTGTTAGGGCGGTTCTGGGGAACAATGATGTGGATGTGGTCCTTTTTTTTTTTTTTTTTCCCTGCTTT